GTGGTGCGGATCACGAGTTCAGGATGTCGAGGCCAGCCTTGGCTAATATGGTGGAAACCCCGTCTCTACTAAAATTACAAAAAATTAGCCAGGTATGGTGGTACGCACCTGTAGTCCCAGCTACTTGGGAGGCTGAGGCAGAAGAATTGCTTGAACCCAGGAGGTGGAGGTTGCAGTGAGCCGAGATGTGCCACTGCACTCCAGCCTGGCGGACAGAGCGAGAACTCCATCTCAAAAAATAATAATAATAAAATTTAAAAAGATACAAATACAAAAATTAGCCAGGCATGGTGGCACGTGCCTGTAGTCCCAGCTACCCAGGAAGCTGAGGTGGCGTCACCACGCCCAGCTGATTTTTGTACTTTTAGTAGAGACGAGGTTTCATCATGTTGGGCAGGCTGGTCTAGAACTCCTGACTTCGTACCACCCACCTTGGCTGGGATTGAGCTGACTACCAGGATCACAGCACTCCCAAAGTGCTGGTACTACAGGCATGAGCCACTGTGCCTGGCCCAGAATATTCTTCTTGTTCTTTGGGTTTCTGGTTCTATTCAGGACTAATGAAGCCTCCCTTTAGTTAAGGCTGAGGTGTCTGTACTCATTCCATGTCATAAAATCCTTTTTATTTCCTTCCATGCCCAAAGCCAAGCATTTCCATTGACTGACTTTCCCATTACTGAAGTTTTCTCTGTGATCCGTGGTGATCCTTCCTGATTGCGGGGTTAAGAAAAGACAGGGGTTCCTTACACATAAGAGGTCCCGTTATATAATGCTCTAAATACTGGGTTGACCATAGTCAAATTCCTTACTTCTTAGACCTTCTGTTTCCTCATAAAATAGAGATAATAAAGAACCTACCTCATAGGAATGTGGTAACAATTAAATAAATTAATATACATAAAGGGCTTATAAAAGTTAGTGCTTAGCCTATAATAATTTCTCAGTAATTTTTTTTTTTTTTTTGAGACGGAGTCTTGCTGTGTTGCCCAGGCTGGAGTGCAGTGGCGTGGTCTCAGCTTAGTACAACCTCTGCCTCCTGGGTTCAGGTGATTCTCCTGCCTCAGCCTGCTGAGTAGCTGGGACTACAGGCACATGCCACAATGCCTGGCTAATTCTCGTATTTTTAGTAGAGATGGGGTTTCCCCACATTGGCCAGGCTGGTGTTGAACACCTGACCTCAAGTAATCTGCCCACCTCGGCCTCCCAAAGTGCTGGGATTACAGGCCTGAGCCCGGCCAGCACTCAGTAAATGTTATATTATTATCATTGATGTTATTATTGAACATGTGTGGTAACTATGGGGACTCTTTTTAACAAAATGTCTGACTAAACACAATGCAGTGTTCCTTTACCATATTCAGGAGCAGAGACTTGGAGATAAAATGACAGGAGGAGAGAATGATCCAGAGCATGGTGCCTTTGGTGCCATCATGGCAATCCCTGACAGAAATGCCCCCTGAGGTTCCAGGGTCCTGCAGGGTCACAGCCCTACTGGTCCCCACCCATCTGGGCTTGGCCAGGCTGGGGACTGCTCACAGGGGACTCTCTCCAATCTCCCTGTGCTTCCCTGCCAGCTGCACGAGAAGTTTGACCGTCTGAAGAAACTGCACCAGGACGAGAAGAAGAAACTGGAGGATAAGAAGAAATCCCTGGATGATGAAGTGAATGCTTTCAAGCAAAGAAAGACAGCAGCCGAGCTGCTCCAGTCCCAGGGCTCCCAGGCTGGAGGCTCACAGACTCTGAAGAGAGACAAAGAGAAGAAAAAGTAAGTAGCAGTCTGCTCTGGGGTGGTGCCTTCTCTTTCCTGCTGCTCATCCTCCCGGGGCAGGACGTGGCACCTGAAGGGGCTGAGGACTGGTGACCAGAGGTGAGCTGCGGGCTGTCAGACTGGTTGAGGTACCTATAACTGGTCCCAGCATCCCTGTGGGACCTTTTGATTCCCTGAGCTTGGGGAGTTGAGAATAGGGGAGGGGTGTGGTCCCAGAGGCCCAGCCCATCTGTCCAGCTTGCTCAGGAAAGCCCTGCAAACTCAAGGTCCATGGGAGAGGAAGGGAAAAGAGGAAAAGCAAAGGGAGAGTGAGAGAGCAGAAGGGAGGAAAAAAATGAGAGGTGCAGCAATATAAGAGAGGAACAAGGCCTCTCAATATAAAAGAGGAACAAGGTGGCTCACGCCTGTAATCCCAGCAGTTTGGGAGGCCAAGGCAGGAGGAACACTTGAGGTCAGGAGTTCGAGACCAGCCTGGCCTATATGGCAAGACCCCATCTCTACTTAAAAAAAAAAAATAGGCCGGGCGCAGTGGCTCATGCCTGTAATCCCAGCACTTTGGGAGGCCGAGGCGGGTGGATCACGAGGTCAGGAGATCGAGACAATCCTGGTTAACATGGTGAAACCCCGTCTCTACTAAAAATACAAAAAAATTAGCTGGGTTTGGTGGTGGGCACCTGTAGTTCCAGCTACTTGGGAGGCTGAGGCAGGAGAATGGCGTGAACCCGGGAGGTGGAGCTTGCAGTGAGCCAAGATCGCGCCACTGCACTCCAGCCTGGGCTACAGAGCGAGACTCCATCTCAAAAAATAAAAAATAAAAAAAAAGAGTTAGAGACCAGCCTGACCAACATGGTGAAACCCTGTCTCTACTAAAAACACAAAAATTAGCCAGGCGTGGTGGCGTGAGCTTGTAATCCCAGCTACTCAGGAGGCTGAGGCGGGAGAATTGCTTGAACCTGGGAGGTTGAGGCTGCAGTGAGCCGTGATTGCACCACTGCACTCCAGTCTGGGCAACAGAGGGAGACCCTGACTTAAAAAAAAAAAAAGAAAAAAGAGTATCAGTGTTTCAGGGGTTCCTACCAGTCCACCCTTCCCACTTCCCCTTCCTGCTACTCCTAATCACCTTTGACCTCTAACCCTTCATTGTTTGTGTCAAGTCATAATATTTGATTTCTCCTCATGCTCACTCCATCTTCATCAGCTCTTACTGTTTTACAGTTAACTCTGCTGTTTGCTGCATGCTGCATGAGACCCAGGGTCCTGGTAAGCTTGATTAACTCTAAATAGAACTGGCAGTGGCTTCTAGAACATATCTCCCCCAATCCCGCACCCCCAACACAAGCATCTAATCATAGAAGAAGCTGCTTCATTGGTCTAGCTGGTTTTCTCTCGTGACTTATAATATGCAGAAATAGTCTAGGGTGGTTTCAAGTGTACATGTGGAATGCCTGCCTGCCTGATTAAAATGAGGGGTCGTTTTCAGACTTTCGCTGCTAGAACAGCTGGGTAACACAGGTGGATCCTGTGATCAGTATTTGAGGTTTCAGTGTGGGCAGTTTTTTTCTTAAAGAGCCATAATCGGGCCGGGCACTGTGGCTCACAGACCTGTAATCCCAGCACTTTCGGAGGCCGAGGAGGGCAGATCACCTGAGATCGGAAGATTGAGACCATCCTGGCTAACATGGTGAAGCCCCATCTCTACTAAAAATACAAAAAAAATTAGCCGGGCGTGGAGGCACAGGCCTGTAATCCTAGCTACTTGGGAGGCCGAGACAGGAGAATGACTTGAACCCGGGAGGCGGAGGTTGCAGTGAGCCGAGATCACACCATTGTACTCCAGCCTGGGCAACAAGAGTGAAACTCCATCTCAAAAACAAAAGGAGCTATAACCATCATTTTCAAAATTAATGAAACCATAGTGATGAGAGGAACTTTGGGTTTCACAAGCCCTGTCCTGCAGTGTCACAGTCAGCATCAACCCTCTCCCATCTCCCTGCATCAGGTTTGAGAATGTCCAGAGTCAATGGAAACTCACTTCTCTGTTTCCTGCTGGTGGCAGTTTCTTATCTGAGGGGTTCAAGTTCTCAAATTTCCTTTGACTGTACCCCTCAAAACCATAATAAGGCTGAGAGCAGTGGCTCACGCCTGTAATCCTAGCACTTTGGGAGGCCGAGGCGGGTGGATCACCTGAGGTCGGGAGTTCGAGACCAGCCTGACCAACATGGAGAAACCCTGTCTCTAGTAAAAATAGTAAGAACACACAAAACCAACATGCATAAGACGAGCAGTACCAACCTGTTGCCCAGCTAGTATACAATCCCACCCTCTGCACGCAAGTGACCTCTCCCACCTCAGCCTCACACAGCGCAGGATACAGGAGTGAGCCACTCACCAAGCCTCATTTTACATACATCCCATCAAACTGGGTGGATTATCCCTCTACTCACAACCGGTTGTAAGTATAAAATGAGATACCATATCTAAAAACCCCAAAAACGCAAAAACACACAACAACAACAACACCACTTTGGAAAGTAATAAAACGCATACTAATGCATTTAGTTTTATTCTTTGTCTAACTTCCTAGGGCAAAGTACCAACAAAACAATGCTATGTTCATAGGTTCCATGGGAAGCGACTAAACTTTTGTGTGGATTACGTGTCTCCATATATCTGCACTCCTTACAGGAACCATAACGAATGAGATAGCAGTTATCTGCAACTATGTGGGGGGTCACAAATGAATCGCTTTACAAATGCAGAGACGCTAATAAGTAAGCAGCCATCAGCAATTCAAAATAGCTGGAGGCAACAGTAGCCTCAATTCTGTCCTGCATTCTAGGTGGCCTTTGCTATACACACACCTGTGAATGAGGGCTTGAGGAGGGGCGGTTGCCTTTGCTGCTTTCAGATACTGGGGGGCCAAAGCCTCCTGTTGACCACGCAGTTGGTCTGGAACTCTTTCGTGTCTGCCAGGGAGAAGCCTGCCAGGAAGAGCCCAACCTACATTGGGGTTGGGGTTGGCTGTTCCAGCTGTTTACCAATTGCCTCCACTTGTAAAGTGAGCTTTAATTATAGTTTTGCCAGAATTCATTTTAGAATGGCCACTAACACTGATTTACTTGGGGAAACCTGTATGCAATTGCGTCAAGCCATGGACGTGAAACCTGAATTAACTGAAATCTCATTAACTAGAATAAAACACACTGCTCACAACAAAATGGGGAACAAAAACATAACACATGAACCAAGTTCTTATTAAATGAGACAAACGCTACGGCACTGGAACTGCATACAGGCAAAGGAATGGACAGACATTCTAGGAACTGCTTCCTACAACTGCTGTTAATTCCAATCAACTAGCAGGGCTCCAAGACTTGCTGTTAAGCCAGACAGTAAATCAAGTCATTGTTCTTTTAAGATTGTTTCCTTTGGCCCGGTTTCAATGGGCCTTATGTTGCAGAAACTCTATGGACTTCCTCTTCAGGATTTGCTTCCAAGCAGGAGTTTTGCCAGCTGCCCTAGTCCCCAGTGCAATAGCTCGGCAATCAGTTTGGTGACAACAGCAGGTCCCATTTAAATCATAAATACATGGGTGAGTGGGAAAAGTCTTTTCTATACTTTATATTCCCCGATCCAAACAAACAAACTGTAAAGGGCATTTATGAGGACAACCGGGATGTTTCAAACACTGACTAAGACATTTCCATGTTAATGAATCATGTTCATTTTGTAGGTGTGATAATGTGGGTTTGGTTATGTTTTTTAAAGAATCGTTACTCTTGGAGATATATACTAAAGTATTCACAGATAAAAGGATATAGTTGTTGCTTTATAATAATTCAGCAGGTCGTGGTAATTGATGAAACAAGAACTGGGCATACGTTTATGGTTGTTTTGGGGCGGGCCTCTGGGCTGAACTGTATTATCCTCTCTTATTTGCTCATGTTTTAAAGTTTCCATGGTAAAGTTTAAAAAAAAAAAAAAGACCCTTAGTTGGGTGCCATGGCTCAGCCTGTCATCTCCAGCAACTTTGGGAGGCCAAGGTAGGCAGATCACCTGAGGTCAGGAGTTTGAGACCAGCCTGGCCAACATGTGAAACCCCGTCTCCACTAAAAATACAAAAATTAGCCCAGGAATAGTGGCACCAATGCCTATAATCCCAGCTACTTGGGAGGCTGAGGCATGAGAAATTGCTTGAACCCAGGGAGGCGGAGGTGCAGGGAGCTGGGATTGGCCCACTGCACTCCAGCCTTGGCGACAGATGTGACTCTGTCTCAAAAAAGAAACAAACGGAAATAACCCTAATAATGTTAAATTAAAAATTTTGTATTTCCTTTCCATCCACTACCTGAGTCTAGTAGAGGAGATAGAAGGTCCTTAATCCCTGCTTTTAGTCTCTCATAAACTATGTGATACTTTTATAAACTTTTATTATACAACATCTAGCACTGAGGAATCCTTACCTGCTGATCTCCTTATAAGAGTTTTCATGAGGCCAGTACTTGTAGGATTAAATGTAAGGAATTCTCCTGTAATTTCTAAGATCGTCTCATTTTCCTCCACTTTATTATAGGTTTTTTTTTTGTTTGTTTTTTTGAGACGGATTTCAACTCTTGTTGCCCAGGCTGGAGTGCAATTGCGTGATCTCAGCTCACCGCAACCTCGCTGACTCCCAGGTTCAAGCGATTCTCCTGCTCAGCCTCCCGAGTAGCTGGATTACAGGCATGCCACCACCACGCTTGGCTAATTTG